GCAAATTGTCATTGGTAGAATTCTCACTAGGCGTTTTATGGGCTCCCTCTCAGCTTGGGGCTCCAGGCAATTGATTTGCCTATCGTATTACACCTGATAAAAAATTCAGTAACTCAGTACTGTCTCTTTTTTATTTATAATCAGTTAAATGTGCTTTCAAATTCTTTGTAAAGGTTCTTTACAGATGTTTAAATGTATTCTTAACCGATGCCACAGATACTTTACAGATTGTAAATCTATCTCCACCATGAATTCAGGAGACAGGGAATGCAATGACTGACGGCCTAATCTGTGCAACCACATGCCATTAGTCTGAGTTAATGTTGCACCCGATTGACTGAGATTGATGAGGAATGATAGTGACTGAAATATTGAGAATGAGTCAAGCCAATGATGAATAATTTACCCTAAAAAGAGTTGTTGTTATGAATCACAATCTCCATGTGGCTCTTTGGGCTAATCAGAAGGATAAATGATTCATTCAGCCCAAACCAAGCTAAATGTCCATTTAAACACTCTTGTAGAAGTGACTTTAACTGAATATCTGAGAAACTTTGCACTGTATCTTTTGTCTGTTTCATGAAGCATCCAGGGACGTCTCTTCATTTCCATGTATCTGAAGTTCTGGTGTATTGCATGACTCAAGATGTGCCAGCTCACCAGTGTCCTTGTCTCTCCTTCACACACACACACACACACACACACACACACACACACACACAAACTTTTACCTACCTGCAAACAAGAAACAAATTACTCTGAAACTGTAGGATTAATTTTAGCTTATAAACTGGCGAGAAATCCAGATTTGAGAGACAAAATTGAATTGTTGTTGAAATTAATCAAATAGAAACTCTAAGAGAGTGAGAGAAAAGGATATTTCTCTGGTCCTGAGTGCACTTTAAGCATTACTGAACTGTGTTATTCGGTTACTTTTGGAGGATTTTAGAAGCAGTGCATTGATAAAGACGACACTGGCTTGGCACTCACAGCCACTCAAACACAGTCAAGATGGCATTATGAAAATAAAGAGGGCAGTTGGATTCCACTAAGGGCTGTTTTCTTTAATGTGCTGTGATGTGTGTAATACTTCATGGTCATTTCATGATGTCATGTTCTGCACATTCTGCATAATGCACATCCACCCAGGAACTATAATGGAGGGGGAAATGAAAGTAATAAACAACTGCATCCTCCTCAGACTGCAGAAATGAAAGAGGCGATTTACACATTTATTTCCAAGAAATGTTAATTTTAGCTATTTGTGTCTCGCTAGCCTGCGGCCATTTCTAGTAATAGTTTGTGTACGTTTATATTTACACCAAAGGAAATTCCTGATATGGGGAGCCCTGGAATCCTCTGCTCAGTCTGGCACTGCTGCTGGTTTTAGACTTTCTAGTGGCAACATCACTAATGCACACACCACAACTGAGAACCTGTCCTCATCTCTTGCACTTTTCAACACTTACTTTTCACCTATATGACACGTCTCCCCTTTTTTTTCCTGTCTCATCTCTGCAGAAACAGTTACGGGCCCGTTCCCTCAGAGTCAAGGAGAGCGTGTTATCCTCTCTGCATATTTGTGTGTGTGTGCGTGCGTGTGTGCCTGCGTGCGTGTGTCTTCGGCTCGCCCCAGTTATTTTCTGCCTGTTCCACAGATTTCCATGCTGTAGGACCCAGACATTTCCCATAGGTGTGATTATGTGTGTAAAAGTGTGCATACTTTTCAGTGTTCACTCCATTTTCATATCCTTCAGTGATTAGTGCCGTCTCCATCCCAGACTGAGGTTTAGTCTTTTTCCCTTCCATGGGAAATGCCGACTTGAGACTGATTTGAGTGCATCTCCCTCTTTAAAAAAAAAAAAAGAAGTATATACAGCGTTTGACAAGGCCGTCTGGACGGGTGCCGATGTGTGCGTGTCTGCAGTATTCCCCCTGCATGTCTCGCTTGTTTTCGCTTGGCAGAGTCTGGCCAGCGCTGCGTCTGGTTCCGTGATGAGAGGCATCTGCAATCAGGGACTTAACGCGATTACAAAGCTACAACGGCCGCGGGGACTGGAAGGGGTTGAGGCATGGCTGGCTGAGGAGGGAGGATAGAAGGGGGACAAACTCCAGAGCAGGTTGCAGCAGGAGCAGAGTGTGTGTCTGTGTGTGTGTGTGAGTGTGTGTTGGGGGGGGTGTCACAACTTTCACCTGCGAAGAGGCCTCAGTCTATCTTTGACACTGTCATCTTCACACATTTCTGCTTTTTGTCCTTGTTGTTCTCCCTCATCTCCTGCTGGCCTGCTCCTTGTTTTTCTCTCTGACTCTGGCCTCTTTCTGTCCTGTCCGCTTTCTGTTCTCTTTCTTTGTGTCTTGCCCTCTGCCCTGTGATGCCACGTTTAGTTAAAATTAGGAAAACAACAGAGGACATGTTTTTCTTCCCCCCATGATCCTGTTCTTTTTTGCTGTGGGCTTGTTCTTTAAGTCCAGTTTTATTTAGCTTTGCTTTTCCCTGACCTTCCTTCTTGATTCTCTCCTTATAGAGTTGACAGGGTGTGTCTCTCTCTCTCTCTCTCACACACACACACACACACACACACACACACACACACACAAACCCACACACCCACACACTTAGACAATCCCTACTTACTTTTGCTCTTACCAAACACCCCCCTCCTCCTCATTCGTTTCCTCTGTCCTGGTCATGTAGGGGCATTGGCACTCACTCACTCCCATTGACAGATTACTTTCCTAATGGAATTTAATTATTTATCCCTTCCTCATGGCGATTTAGCCAGGAAAAGACCGACAGCAGGAGCACGAGGGAGGACAGCGCAGGAGGAGAAGGCGGAAGGAAGAAGAGAAGAAGAGAGAGGCGCTCATTTCCTCCAGTGGCAAGAAACTGGATCACCTCTGTTTTGATTTGAAGATATGTCATTCAGAAAGGAAGGGGAGCGAGGGATGTTAGAAGGAAAAACCCAGAGAAAGACAGAGTCGGGGATGATGGAGCGGCTAATACACACACACACACACACACACACACTCACACACACACACACACACACACACTGGAAGAAAAGACTACATGATTGTTATTTAAAATCAATGTTCTGAAAGTGTGAATGAATTTTGACCGTAACCTCTGACACACACACACACAAACACACACACACACACACACAGAAAGTTGTTCTTGTCACTCTTGAGGACATTGCATATTATATTAATTGTGGCAAACCAGCTTTTTGTCCTTGAAAGGGAGATGAGTCCTTGTAAAGTGACAGATAAATTGTCCTCAAATTGTGAGCACACACACACCTTTACGAGTCTCTGCAGAGAATATGAGTGCTAGACAACCTTTCTTTCCTCTCTCTACCTCTTCACTCGCTGTCACACACCGCTCCTTCTTTTTTCTTGCATCTCTTTTTTCTTCCTTGCCTTGTCTATAAATGCTTTTCTCCCGTTTTGACTCCCTCTCCCTTCCTCCTCTCTCTCTCTCTCTCTCTCTCTCTCTCTCGCTGGGGATCCTAATTAAGCTTGGCTGCTCTTTGATGTTGTCGCCTTGGCAACAGTCACCATGATGAGGCTGGGTCTGCACACTCTCTCTCTCAAACTCACTCAGGCATACACAAATACACACTAGTACAGTACACACACGCAGGCACACTCACTGAAATCACTGAAGAATACAACCATCGTTTGACCCTTGGTTCAAATGATAGCTTTCACAATGACTCAGGCATGTGCGTAGGCTACATACGTATGTACACATGTTGGTTACATGTTACAACAGCAGAGTAAAGGAAAACAGGACTGATAATGAGGAAGTACGCAGGGTGTGTGACCATAGGTGGTTGGAGAAAAGGCAGAGCTTCTGTTCACCTTCACTGTGACAACAGCCATTTAGATATGACACCCACTTGCTCTGATGTTTGACCTGTTATTGTGTTTGTTTTGTTTTCCTAAATAAATGTTTGTGTGGGCTGAAAGCCCTCGAGATGAATCATGTGGTTAGCACTGGCTATTACTCGAGGCAGTGCAGCATCTGATAAACTGATTTACAGCAGGGGAGTTCCTCGTTTCCAGCTTCCCTCTCACTTTGATCTTTTCCGTCCTCTTGCAGAAAACTGGATGATCCATATCACCTCCATCAAACTTACAATTTTGATCAGATTTTTTAAAGATGAAAAAAAAACATTCTCTTGCTGCACAACAAGATTGCAATCTTTTTCCAATGCAAATCAATTGCACAATTATGTTTCTTTTCTTGATTTATGTGGAGCATTACTTTTTTTTTTCACTGACATAAAAAAGTTCTCTGTTCTCAAAACTTTCTTTACTGTGTCCTCCACTCCCCAATAGTTCCTCATTCCTATCTTTATCTGCTCATTTCCTCTGCACCTCATCCATCCGCCTTCTCTTCCCCTCATCAACCCCATTCCCCCACCGCCACCACTTCCCCCATCCCCTAGTTCCTGTCAGCGCAGTCTGGAGGAGGGCCACTGTAATGAAACCGACTCTTACCACTCCCTTATAACAGTGGCTTTGGCGCTGAGTAACCACAGCAATTATGATCACAACACGTCAACATGCGGGGAGGCAAAACTGCAATTAAAGTAACATTGTTAGGCTTTTGCTCATGAGAGTGGCAGAAATACCCATGTGGTGGTAGAAAAATGTTGTGATAGTGATCATTAGGAACCTTAAATCCTTTACGTAAGAGCATCGGATGACTCTGCATCTTTGGTTTAATTCATGAGGACGAGTGCTGTAAGTTAAATGACAATGAGCCAAAGCACTGTATGGGGACTGAATGGATTACTGATAAGATGGATGGTGTTTTACATCTCGGGAGTGAGACATTTATTCCAAATTGCTTCTGGTTCCTTTAATCATCAGATCAGTCCACTGTACTGATGAGTGGTCTGTGCTAGCGGAGGACCATGATGAACAGTTGCATTAAAACAAGTGTAACTCCTCTCTTAACTCTGCACATGTGTTTCCTGTCCCTGCAGCTGTTTGTCATCGACAATGGAGCAGACGACTGGCGCATCGCCATGACAATGGAAAGGGTCCTGCTGATCGCGCTGGAGCTGCTGGTGTCTGCGGTGCATCCGGTGCCCGGGGACTTCAAGTTTCAGTGGCGGGCACGGCTGGCCTTCTCGTATGCGCCGTCGCAGGCCGAGGCTGACCTGGACATGGTGCTGAGCGTGCCCATGTTCCTGCGCCTCTACCTCATTGCCAGAGTCATGCTTCTGCACAGTAAACTCTTCACCGACGCCTCCTCCAGGAGTATAGGTGCCCTAAATAAGGTCAGGAGGGTTTTCTGCTTCACGGTGTGTGTCTGTGAGGTTCTATGCATTCAAGAGTGAGGGTGACAAATATTTAGCTGGAAACAGACGAGGGAGCTGTAAAGGTATTAAGGTCAAGAGCTCTCTCTTCTGAATTAAATCTGTGTCCATGTTGCCCCTTTCATCCCTGTCCTCTATCTCTCTAACTAACTCAAGTCCTTCCTTCCACTCCATCCTTCTAGTCACCCTGTTCCTTTTCATCTACCACTTCAAATCCCATTCCTCTCCTTTTGTTATCATTGTCAATAGAGACTTAGATGTAAGCTGTGGTGGATTTGTCATAAAGCAATATAAGAAGAAGGCATGAAATGGGAACAAGATATTGCATACGGCCCAAATGGAGCATAAAAAAAGGACGAGAATGAGATTGCCATACGAATGCGTAGAAATGTGTACAAGTCATGCAATAAATGATTGTTGCCATGTTTGTAATGACTTTATATTGTCAACATCACTCTAAAAGCAGGAAGTGGAGATGTAGCACATGTTGGAAAGGAGGAGGAGATGAGGACAGTGGGAGAGATGGAGTGGATTTTAGATGAGTAATTTAGCATTTTGCGAGTGTGTCTGCGATGACACTATTCTGACCCTCAGGATACAGATGGAGAGAGAAGGTGACGCTGCCGTTGAAGTGCAGCTCTAACATGACAACTTATTTATCAGCTGCTTTACCCTTCCAGTGATGAACCTTTGCTCTCGATGATCCATTTGCCTGAGTTGATGGTCTACCACTTATTGACGAATGAGCCATGGATAAGAAACTACAGTGAAATAGGCCAATTGCTCGAAGACACTGTAGCTTGACCTGAGTCAGAGGGCGAGCTGCGTTCTCAACTCCAATTACAGCGGAGATTCTCAGATTGTGGTGGCTTTCAAAAGCTACTCAGCTACTCTAATTAGTAAAACGTCAAGTCTGTGTGGGAAACAGTGAACAGGATGGGGATTCACATATTAAACAATGACACTTGAAAAAATGTGTGTTACAGCGTCATCTTTCATTTCTGCCATACTGACTGTGTGTGTTTGTTCCTTAGGTGCATTTTAACACACGATTTGTAATGAAAACCCTCATGACTATCTGCCCCGGGACGGTGCTGCTGGTCTTCAGCATCTCTCTGTGGATCATCGCTGCCTGGACCGTACGAGTGTGTGAGAGGTCAGTATCAAAGCTGGTGTGTGCGTGCGTGTTTTTGTGCATGAAATAGACAGCCAGATGATTAGACATTCAATTCAATTAAAGGTTCAGTGTGTAGAATTTAGTGACTTCTAACAGTGAAATTGCATGTTGCAGCTGAACACCCCTCAATTCACCCTCCTCTCTCATACATGAAAGAGAACCTGTGGAAACCTTCAATTGTCATAAAAACTCAAAAGCTGTTTAGTTTGTCCAGTTTAGGCTACTAAAAAACATGACTGCCTCTGTAGAGAGGACCCACTCCTGATGTAAATATAAAGTATTTAAATATAAAGGGCTCATTCTAGGGTAAAGAAAACAACAATTTGTTCAATTTAGATGAAACACACTAGTGATAACAAGATTATTTTATATTCAATTTCTGCCAATAGACCCCTTTCACCTAAATCGTACACACTGACCCTTAAATTTAATGGCAAGAAATACAATCTGGGACACATGTGCGACATAATCCATTAAGTTTATAAGGGTTTTCAGGGAAAGGATGGAATCAGATTGGAATCTATGACGATGGCAGAGCAGAGCTAGTCCTCTGAAATTGGATTGAACCGGAAACAAATCAGGGTTGAGGTGGACATGGTTTTATAGCAGGAGAAGCAAATGTGGATCCCTGGAGCACAGAGAAAAAGACCATTAACACAGATTCAAGGTAAGATAAGGCAAGCAAGCTACACCAGGAAGTGATCAAACATTTCCATCGCAGTGGATGATTTGATAAAGACCAGAGATATGAGCCGGGCTGCATATATCAGTGTGGGTGGAGTAGATGATTAACCGAAGAGCCTCAGCTGTGCAGGTGAATTCATGGGAGAAGAACCAGGTCGATATGTCCAGCTCCAGATGACTGGAAGAGACTTGTCTTACCTGGGAAACATGAAATTGAAAAGCTATTTTCAGTAAAAAGGATCAAATATAGCACAGGAATAGCTTGATGGATTCATTCTTTCAGGCAATGTCTGTTTGGGGGTTGAAACCTGACAACAAGGTGACAGTTTCTCTAGTGTCTGGGAAAAAGGTCTCCAAACTTGCGAGATTAACTGTCAGAAACAATATCCACAGTCATGCCATGGAGATGGAAAACATGGTTAACAAACAGATCAGCAGACAAACGTTAATTTGAGCAATGCAATAAAATGGACATCCATAGAGAAATGATTCACCCTAGAAACCAACGTGTTACTCTGAGAGAGGGGTAACCCCGTGACAAAGTCCAAGGTGCTGTGTGACCAGGGGCAATTGGTGACAGGAAATTGGCAAAGACCAGCTGGATGACGATGAGACACTTTGCCCCTGGTGTCTCTTGAGGAGTTTTAGGGTATGATTAACACCTGAATGGTAGGCAAACCGTAGGTGGGCACGCACTGTAGAACCTGTAAATAGACAGAGTTTAGGAAAACTCTGTTCCTGGATCATGCACCCTCTTTTGTCCACTGATGCTCTTTCCCATTGGATGGCAGCAACCACACTGGAAGGGGAAAGGAAAGTTCAAGCGCCTAAGTTGGATTACTCACTCACATGCTTTTAGGATAAGGCATTAGTTTTGATGTTCCGGGTACCTGGACGATAATTATGGGCAAAGTTTATGTAGCTGTAGAGCAAAGCACTCTTCTAATGCCAACTTTACTTCAACCTGACTCAGATCATGATAAACCTCACCCGTAGCTTACAAATCTGGACACTTGAGCTCGGTGTTGAGTGTTACTGGGTCTCCTTCTGCTGGTGATAAAGCAGACTTCAGACAAGTTGAATGACAAAAATTACCCAATCCTACTACTCTCCCTGCTACCCATTCGATAGGTGTGGTGTATTTCTTTTTGGGCGGTAATATAAAGAACAGTGTTTTCTGGTTATCAGACAGAATCAGGTTGTTGTGGAAATGGAGTGGTGTGTAATGGTTTCCAAAATTGGATGGCATTAGCAGTCAACCATGTCTCTATAGTGTCTAGACTTATGCTTGATTGAACGACCATGTCATTATCGAGAAAATTATCTACAGCTCCTGAATTGATTAATGCAAGAAGAGGCAGGTATAATTGGTTGCAATTAATAGTAGCTTGTAGGAGAGGTCTGGACTGGATGAAATGATTAATTTGGCTCATCAGTACCCCTACCCCTCTTGATGAGTCTTGTCTTTGGGGCATAAAGGACAGGCAGAGCGGAAATGACCAACTTGAACCCAGGAGATGCAATAGTCCAAATGTTGTGTTAAAGTTCCACCCGCATCATCCAAGCTTTGCCAAGTTGCAGGGGTTCACCCTTGGGAGATTCAACAGGTCCTTCTGCATTGGAATCAGTAGAGGATTTGACCTTGATGCTTATAAGGGTTGGAAGGTGTGAGCGAGAATTAGCTGCTGGCATAATGCATACTGATTTGTCTAGTATGCAATTATCTGTCCCGACTGCCAAGAAAACAAGAGAACTTTGGTTAGCAGGTTCCTCCCTAGAGGCTTTTTATATCTTCCAGTTTCTCTCTCAAACCTTTTAAAGATACTCAACGTAGAGGTTCTCTTTTCAGTTTTCATCTGCAATGTACATCTAAAACAACTGCGTTTTGTACACAACCCCTACCCAGACCAGAGCTCTCTCTCTCA